ACTTTGCTCAGCTCTGGAATTGAGTGAGACAGATAGCAACGTCTCTGGTTTAGTTCAATCTCGTAACCTAGCACTAGGCACACCAGTGTGGTTCCGAGCACCATCGGGAGATAATCCAGCAGCTGGCAGTAGCTGCCAAGGCTCGCACCGCAGTCTCGGGAGTCCAGGGTATCCACAATTGAATCGTGCCGTATTTCCAAATCATATGCAAGATGAAGGAGAACGAAGCAGACAATATGGACAGAGGATATGGTCAATGCTCTAGGGAACGGTATTTGAACTACGATGTTAATAAAGAAGGAAGTCCAGGCGACCAGATGGGCATCATCTGTTCTCGTGGGAAGTCTCCAAATGTAGAATCCCACAATTGAAAAGAATGCCAGAGCAGTCAAAAAAGCATTGTAGTGAATCCGGAAGGAGCGTGTACTCGTTGCACAATAAAAACAGAAGCTGACAAACAGGGCGAGGGCAAGTTGTACAGACACCATCCCTGGCTGGACCATCTCCTCGATCACGCCCCAGGAAAACTCGTAGGCGAACATGGCTCCGACAGACAACCGGGCGTGTTTGACGGCCTCATCCTGTGAGTGTCGCAGATAGCCGGACTCTGTGGCAAGATTATTGAATCTGAGCGTCCTCGGATTGATTTTCTTCAATGCTTGCGAATAGTCGCCCTCCGATGTAGGACGTCCAAACGCACCCTTCCAATATTCCCTCATCACTTCGAGCAGTCGTTGGACACCCAGTGCTCGGGGTTTGTAACGAAGTGCACCTCTTTCTTCCAAAGTTTGGTCCTCCAGATCTTCGCTCAAGGAAAATATGAGAGGCTCTGTCGTGCAGGCGAAGGTTTCCTTGAGCTTTGATGCGAGGTATGGTAATCCGCGTTTGACCCATTGACGAGGGGCAGCCGCCAGCCACCGTTGGAGCTTCTGTACCGGGGTTGCCGCGGCCCTCGAATAGGCGAGAAATCTCTCAAGTATACTCGAGGAGACGCAGACACCAACCACAAAGACGGGAATCAACCAGTTGATGAGAGACCCTTCCCAGAGCATCCCAGCCACATTGGCTGCTGCTGACCATGGACGACCAAAACGAGAATAGAGGAAAAGGCATGGTAAGAACGTGCTGATGGAAGCGAAACAGAGGAATACGAAGAGAGAGGAGAGATGATTGGAGAAAATGACCAGTATGACATTAACGGCAACCACTACAGAGTAGTAAACAAGAGTGCCCATGCAGGCATGATCCACCACGCCTCCGTTGGAAGCGAGAGCTGAAGAGTAGCTCATTCCTATAGCGATAGAGACATAGACTATTGCAGCACAAAAGATGGCTCTCAAAGTCCACGCGAGGAACTTTCTCGCACTGAATGAGATGGATTGCCTCCCTTCACGATACACAATGGGATATCTCGCGACGACCCAACGTGGAAAAGTGATGTCCAAAGCGCCGAGGACTATGATAGGGAGGGAGGTCCAGAGAACATTGTAGGACATCAGGATCCAGGATTCGTACAGAGAGGTGCCCGTGAACGCATTGCTGAATGCGAAGAATACAGTGGGCAGTACCAGGCAGATATTCTTGAAAAATGAATACAGTATAACGAGCGTGATGCGGTTGTAGCAGTCTCGACCATGGACTAACATCAGCTCCCCAAGGTGAGAGAATGATGCCACGGCATAGTCTGAGGCTCTCACTGCCTGCATTCCCTCGCTACCAATAACTCCAATACCGATATGAGCCATCTGGAGCATAGGAACATCATTCGCTCCATCGCCTATACTCAAGATGATACGATCATCTGCTTCTTTCAGCAGCCGAGTAATCAGCGCCTTCTGTGATGGTGAACTGCGGCATGCTAGCACCGTTTTAGCGTTCGAGATTACATTGGCAAGAATTCCCAAATTTTCTCTAGATGTTGAGAAGCAGGATATAGCAGAGCCGTCCAGTACGACGCAAAGGTGCTTCGTTTTCCCATGGGCCACCCACTGCAGATAATCCCTTTCGAATGTCTTCTGTTTTTCGCGTACAAAGGCATCCGATTCTTCACTCGTCATTTTCGTCTCGCATTCACGGCGGAGGTCCGACAAAAGAGCATCCAGAGGCAAAAGTTCAGAAGCTCGAGCAATGTTCAAGGACGTCTCATACCGATCTCCCGTGAGCATCCAAACCTTGACACCAGCACTCAGAAGTCGCGAAATTGTTGTACTGACGCCGCGTTGTAACTTATCTTCCACAGCTGTGGCTCCAAGCACGATAAGGTTCTTCTCGAACTTCTCGGCTACACGGACAAACCGATCTGCTCGATTTGTTATAGCGTGCCTCGCTTCATTCGAGGCTCCCAGATACTCTGAGGTCTCGACTTCGTCAAGAAACCGCATCGCTAGCATGAGCGTTCGATTGCCGGCTGACGCGAAATCATTGATGTCGGAAACCGTCTCAGCTCGCACGCCGCGCACGGGTATCCCACATAAGGCTAGCGATGTACCGTCTCCAGCGCCTCTCTGGCAAAGTTCGAGCATCACGTCGTCTGCACCTTTAGCCAGCAGCATAGACCCCGTACTATCGAGAATATGACCTGTGCCGCCATCATCAGTCTTCAACGCTTGGACGAGAACACTCATGCGCTTGCGCTCGCAAGTATACTCATTGACACCAAGAATTTTGAATGTAGTATCCTGCCACTGCGACTCCTCTCGTCCGGGGATAGACCGTAATATCTTCAATGTCACGTAGTTCGCAGTTCGGGAAGTGAGAATGTATCCTGAGCTCGCCGCCATTTCCACCAACGCTTCCTCATCTGGGCTAGTGCCTTCAAAACGGACTCCGAGCGGAGATTTAGTCGACGCCTCGGGTATGACAGTATTGCATATCGCACATGTCAACATGAAAAGATGCACGAAAGCCTCCTGGGGACTTGTGATGGCCGGTACTCCCAGATACTCTAGCAACGCTGCATCACGTGAGCAGTTCTCTGCGGCGTTGGGAAGCACTTCACTGCTCCATAATGCGTACAGAGTGGCAGAGTTCACACTCTCAGTGGTGTATCCCATCTCGTCACCCCCATACTGTATGCCGCCGATACTGCACATTCTGAACGCCATGCGGTTCTCTGTCAAGGTTCCGGTCTTATCAGCCAGAACATAATCAACTCGGCCAAGGTCATCGTTTAGGCCTGATGTTCCCACGATGATCGAAGGCTTGCCGTCCCGCATGCGGGAGTCACGCTGAATGATATATGCCTGAAAATTACAACCTCTATTATGACTCATCGGGAGATCTGAATCACTATGATGATCATACTGATTCAGATCTTCCGCCAGTATTTTTCGATCATACTATGATCTCAATACTGGCGGCATGCCATGAAAGCACCGTTCATAACGAGAGCGCGCTAAAGCTTTGCCCCGACCAACCTGTATCGACCTCACGATGTCCACGGTAACGTACAATGATATTGGAATCATATTGTTGAATAAGAGGAGGAATGTCAGAAATTGGTGTCCCTGAATAGCATCCTGCAGCAGGCTGATGGAACATTCGCAAGTGGTAGTTATCGATGCAGACCTACCCAAGCTACGGTATTAGTGTCTATGCCCACGAATAACTCGAACTTGTCTCGCGACCTGGATGTACCGGTGAAGGCGATCGTTAGCCCCAATGCTAATATCAGAATGAGCCCAAGGACGAAGCCGAGGTATCTACAGGTGAAGCTATTCCTTTATAGGAATGCTCATTCCACTTGCTAGCACGATATAGATGACCGTCAGCCCAGTGAGCGGGGTCCAAGCGACGCTATGAGACTAGCGACAGAGCTAGCCGCTCATTCGGAGCGGCAACACCGGTAGACAGTCAAACGGTCGACTGGCCAAGTGTTAGCTAACTCTCAATTGTTGAACGGAGAGCATCGATAATGCTTTTATGTGACTCACATAATGTGAGGAGTATGATCGGACAACCGCCCGACTGTGTCCGGCGTGGTAACTGTGTCCGCCGAACTCCGGCCGTCGGAGTCTCACTACTACATCACCACCTCAGTCTTGTCACAAGACTCTTGTGTTCTCGATATAGTATCACCAACTTGATGCTTCATGACATGGTCGATGTATCACACCGGCACACAAGAAACGCAGAAGTGTTCTACTCGAAGTAGTACGAAACGCGGAGGTTGCGCATCATCGAACTGTCAGTCATCATTGCCAGAAATTACACAATAGAACCAACTCACCGTCAAGCTCGGTCACAGACACTGATCCTGTCTTTCGGTGATGTAGCAAGTCGAAATGCACCCGGCAGGCGCGTCAGACCTCCGGCAAAGGTCGTCTCCGCGTCTATACACTAGTCATTCGACCCTCGCCTACAGAACGTCAGAACGCCCAAGCGCTCCTTGAGCGCTCAGTATACATGCTCCGGGAACCTTGTCGTGCTACGTTGAACGCGTTCGTCGGAACCTCGCGCGAAATACACGTTCGCAAGACCCTTGTCGCGCTACGTTGAACGTGGTCATCGGAACCTCGCGCGAAATACACGTTCGCGCGTCCCGGAACGAGGCGGGAAATGCATGGTAGCATGATATAGCTGAAGCCACTGAAGTAGAAGTGCTCCCCGTAGGGTTAACCTTCGCGGACGTACTCGAACGCGAAAGCGGTATCACTGCTATAAACATCCCGATTCCGGCTATGAAAAATCTACGAAATCACAACACGCAAATCGACCCCCCCCCCAAACCGGCGGAGTTTCAGTGTTAATTCTAGAGGATTTACGGAGTCGATGCAACAAACTATGACACGCGGAAAGGCTGCCACGCGACAATTCTCTGAGAGTTATTGCGCTGCGAGGTGATGAGCACAGAGAACACTTTCGCGAATTCACGAGCAAGTAAATATGCAGAAAATTCTCTAGCAAAACCTTTACTATATGTTCTCAGCTCGATAACTGCTATCTATCGAGATCCAAAAGCATTAGAACAGTGGTGAACGATTGGTTATCGGAA